TGCAGGGGAACCAGAGATGGGAGCTGGGCTATAGGCCAAGATGAGGGAAAGGACTAGATGGGCCTAGATCTGTGACAGCAGCTGTCTAGTCTCACTCCTTCATGTAGAGAGGAGTAAGGACAAAATGAGAGCTCCTTCTGCCGCATACCCGTGAACTGACCATCACACCAACTATCTTCCTCTTTCCCGACCTCCTTCACTTCAGCCATGGAAACAAGTAAGAACTACACCACCTCGTCGCTGTGAACACATTTCCAAAACTGCACTGCTGTCAAAGCACTCAACAATGGAATGGGTGGGGTACTGAAAATGGAACCCCAGAAACTAAGTCTCACACCGCCAGACCTGTGCTCGGACAGAGTGTGTCAGGGGAGAGTTGAATTTAGGCAAGTCTCAGCAATTGTTCCACTATTAGTTTATATTTAATTGTAGCTTGGGTGTCTCTGATGAGTGACATGCTCCCTCCCCTCTGCTCCCAGGGTGTAAAAGGCATTCTAGACATGTCTCAACTGCTAGCCAGGTATGTTTAGAACCAAGCCTATTAATCCCCTTCTGTGAGAAAAAGCTCAAATGTAGGTTAATTTGTGTATAGCTGTGTAACTACATATTCCCGAGGCTAAGAAAAATGTACCGGGACACATAATCACTTTGGTGACAGCTTTCCTTCCATGGGATTCAGAACTCAAGGGTTAGGAAGGACTTATATACTCAACACTTTGAGAACTCAAGATAGACAAGGATCTTAAACCAAGTCTTAACTTTGGCATGTAAATAATTAATGTATATTCATAAAACTCATAAAATGGGAACCTATTTCTTCCCTCCATTGACTTAAAATTCCAAAACAACGCAGCAGGTCTCAAAATAATTTTAAAACACAAGCAACATTTACCAAACGCTTCTCTGCATCATTTCAAGTAATCTCAAAAAAACAAAAACCAACCATGAGGAAGATTCTTCTTATTCCTACTTTATAGACAAGAGATTTGACATTTAACACATCGTTTATGGGCACGCAGTTAACCCAGGGCAGATCAGAGAGTCAGACTCATGCGTGTCTGTCTAAAAACCTAACTTACTTGCAAACAGCCAACAAAGGCACCAGAGAGGAAGTGCTTTTCCAAGGCTGGAGGGAGGTTCGGCATTCAAGAGTGTACGCTGCTCTCACAGTGGACCTTACAGACTGGGGAGGCTGACTCCCAGAACCCACGTGGGAAGCTCATAACTTCCTGTAGCTACAGTTCCAGGTCCTCCTGAACCTGACCTCTGTAGACACCTACACTTATATGTGCACACATAGACATACACATGTACACAGAATTAAAAATAAAATTAACCTATTTTATTTTATTTTATTTTATTTAAAAAGAGCTATTCTTACCTTTGGTGAGTAAGACTTTACTGCAGCCTGCTCCAGCTGCAGATCTCAGGATTGTCCCCAGGTTCCCAGGGTCACGGAGATTGTCACAAATCAACACTAAGGGCAGTGAATGGTGAAGCTGAGTCTCTGGATATGTTACCTTAATAGGGTCAGGTTTGGCAAAAATCCCTAAGAAAACAACACAGGCGATTCACTAGTCTGGAGTGTGCATGGGAATGGTTTGACTTTTTTTTATCATTCTTTATGTATTCACAATTACCAAATGAAAACAAGAATATATTAAGACTACAAAATTTCAAACAACAAAAATTCTACCACTGCTAACCCCATCCTACCCCTTCTCCTTTCTGAACTCTATGCACCCAGCTATATCCGCACACTTAACTGCTTTTTCAGCACAGACAAACCACTGTGGGTGTGGTGGCAGACGGCTGGAGGCAGGAGAACTGAGAGTTTAAGGCCATCCTCATCTCTGTAACAACATGTTCACACACAAAACAAGGGCTTGGGATGTTCTCAGTGGTACAGCACTTGCCTAGCACGCAGATGGCTTTGGGGTTGATCCCTAACACTTCTAGAAGCAACAAAAACAGAATCTGAAAGCAAATGTTAAAAATGACATATAGGAGCTAGAGCACTGACTCAGCAGTTAAGAATACCTGCAGCTCTTGAGGACCTGAGTTCAATTCCCAGAACCCACACTGTGGCTCACAAGTCCAGTCTCAGGAGATCTGACCTCAGTAGGCACCAGCCACACACTTGGTGCACATACATATATGCAGGCAAAGCACTCATATGTGTAACATTTTAGATTTAAAAACTAGCATCTATATAACCTATATCTATGAGTAAAGTTTTAAAAAGCTCACTTTGTCATCTCACCCACTGTGTCTTTAAAAATTTTATCATGTCAGTATCTATTTGCAGCTACTATATCTTTCTGAGTGTTATAATATGATGTGTCAGAGTATAGCTCTTTCCAGTTTTTTCCTTTGTTTGGTAGGTTGGTTGTCTGTGTATAGGCTTGGCTATTCTGTAACTTGTCTATAAACAAGGCTGGCCTCCAACCCACAGAGATACACTTGCCTCTGTCTCCTGAGTGCTAGGATTAAAGGCATGCACCACCACTGCCTGGCCCTTTCCAGTTTTTTAGTTGATAATTAGATTTAAAAGTTTCCTCATAACAAACAAACAACAAAACAAAAAATGCTACAATAAGTGTCCACAGAAGACTCTGTAGATGTCTGAAAACTTCTCTGAGTCAAATTCCTGCAAGTGAAAGGGACAGTGTACATATACTCTTACTGTTAACAAATGCCATGGAACTGCTCTCCTCAGAGGCTAGGGGTCTCTATCCATGTCTAGAATGATAAATACCCGCCTCCTAGCTCACAGCCTACTTAACAGAGGACATATTCACTCTCATTTTTTAACACTCAGGAAAAACAGCATTGCATTCTTTCACTCTGCATTTCCCCTGTACCAGGGAGATGGATGGACATCTTTTGCACTCACCTTATTTGTGACCCCGTTACATTACTGTCTTTCCTTACATTTTTCAAACTGTCTTGATGCTGTAGCCTTTCTCCATTTTTCTGTTGGGTTTTTGTTTTACTTAATGTGTAGGCTTAACCTAAATATTTAAACAAGACCCATATAGCTCTCCTTCACTGCTTGTCTTAAAATTTAAAAAATATCCCCAGGAAACAAATTCATAAAATTCTTAACAGCCTTGCCCAGAAGTACTATATTGAAGACACTGTCTGCCAGGGCTCATACTGCAAGAGTTGTAGGGGTAGCGAGGACCAAGCCATTTGTAAGGTCTCTTGCTGAGGGTCAGAATCTTAGCAAGTTGAGCACAGTAACACTTACCCAGTGACCCTTCTATCCTCAGTCTAATACAATGCACACAAATCACCTGGAGAGCTCGGAAAAAAATGAAAATGCTAAGTGGCTTCCTTAATGAAAATTCTCTCGTTTAATAATCTCTGCAACGTATCCTAAAGCACAGTATTCAGGGCAGTATCTGGGGGAAAGAAAGAAACTAGAAAGGTGGCTGAAGATGAACTTGTAATTCTCTGAGATGGCTCAGCAGGTAAAAGGTACCTATTGCCATGCCTGACAACCTGAGATTGATGTCCAGGACTCATACAGTGCAGAGGGAAAACTGATTCTCACAGATTGTACAGATTGTCTTCTGACCCATGCACGTATATACACAAAATAAGTAAAGTTTTGTTTTGAGATAGGGTTTCACTATTTGCTCTGGCTATCCTGGAACTATGTAGATCAGACTGGCTTCAAACTCACAGAAATCTGCTTGCCTCTGCTTCCCAAATTCTGGAATTTTTAAATGCTTGCATTAATCCTGGCTCATAAAATGTTTTTAACATTCCATAAAACAAACAAACAAACCAACAACAACAAAACTGGGCATGTTTTGTTTCATGCCTCCTTTTCAGCAGTAAGGAGGTACAAGCAGGAACGTCTGTCAGTGGTTCAGAGCTATCCTCAGCTACATACAGAGTTTTAAGCCTGCCTGAACTATAATTGTCAAAAACAAGCAAAAGCCTCACAATTCAATATGAATGAGAAATTGGTTCAGATGGCAGTAAAAATACCATTAAAACATATAGACCTGAGAAGTCCTATTTATTTTTAGACATTAGTCAATAAAAATTTAAACTTGATTTAAATAAAATTTGTTACCTTAAGACAAGTATGAACAAGAAAGTCTAGGATACTACACTTGAATGAAATAGAAATTCCAGATATTGATACGCTGTATATCACTGACCCATTATTCCTTGTGGCGTTACTAGGTCCGACCAATCCTTGATATCCTCAAATTTCACCTTAATGAGGCTGACACCCTTCAGCTTATCTACCGGCAACTCCTTGATGTATTCCAGACGGCTAAAAAAGAACACTTTTGGCACAGCTCCAGCCTTGAGAGCATCTGCAATCAGCCTGCGACCTTCCAGTAGGATCTTCCCTTGCTTTTCCCGAAAAGGCCTGGACTTAACTATTGTCATCACACTGCTGTGGATGCAAACAGAGAGGGGATGATTATCAACGTTCTTGTCATGTAGTTCTAACAGACACACAGAGCTTGGCGGAGGCACAAGCCTCAAAGAAGACATTTATTTTGCACTGTAGAAACAGTAAGAGCCAGAAGCTCCACCGCGAGGCAAGAAAAGGGAAATAGATGACAAGTTTCAAAAACATATCACCTTAGCCTCCTGTCTCCGGGAAAGGCCTTATCGTAGCGAAGCCCTGCCTCTTCCCAGGTGTGAGGGGTCTGGGATGGGGATGTCTCAAGAGGCTGTTTCTGTTGCTGCCCCTGGGAACTGGCCTTAGGGGCCGCCTTGCGGGACTGCTTGTCGGGAGCGCGCTTCCGTTCCTCCACCTGTCCAGAGGGAGACAACACTCTCACCGGGCTGCGCCGCAGCGCCCGGACCCAGCGCCGAGAACCGATGTCCGGAGTCTGGACCACTCGCAGCAATGGTCCCAGGGAGCACCACATGCCCTTCGCCGGCGCTGCCATCTTTCCTCTGGCGAGCGCTACTTCACCCGAGCGCGCGGTCGCGTACTAGTGACGTCACGCGACGGTCTTCCCGGTTCTGTGGGCGGGGTGGCCCTCTGTTTGGGATTTGGTTTTCGTGGTGAGAGTCATGGCCACTCGTCGAGCTCTGCACTTCGTTTTCAAAGTGGGGAACCGCTTCCAGACGGTGCATTTCTTTCGCGATGTCCTAGGGATGCAGGTGCAGACCGGGGTCGAGCGGGACTGGCATGAGACCCCGATGTGCGGCCGGGCCGCACCTGGGGAGGGAGGACGCCATCAGCCGCCAGGCCCTCGCGCCGGCGTGTTCAGCGTTTGCGAGTCCCCACTTTCGGGTTGGGAAACCTTTGAAAGGGACTGAGCTACCAGATACGTTGTCTACGCACGTTCACTTACAGCCCTTCACAAATATTTGTTACACTCCTGGCTTGGGGAGCTTGCAGTCTAACGTGAAGGAGCGTTAATAGGCAGAAACGTTATAAAAAGCCCCTCCCAATTCACGACAGAGAGATCTGGTTTGAAACGTTTGGGTGTGATCAGCAAATTTCAGCTTCCATCAGGGCTGCGGATTTAAAGTTTAGGCTCTGGGAAGGGAATCCATGGCTTTGCGCATGCTAGTCAAGCATTCCACTATCAACAAGCTCTGTCAGGGCAAGTTCGAAAGGTCTCCTTCATAGGTACTCAGGCTCGCTGTGTAAATCTGTGGCTCTCCTCTAAACAGCCCAGATTTAAGTATGAGGCCAGAATCAAGTCGCCTTCCTAGTACCTGGAAACAGTCTGAGAAGCTGTGTTTCTAAGGGAGTCACTTAGCTGAAAGTGTAGTGGAGATTTATTGAGGAGCTCTTGGTAAGCCAGGGAGGTAGGGAACACACCAGTGCAGATTTTTTTTTTTTTTAAACAGACTTGTAGCAGTCCAAATCCAGCTTAGTGTAGAGATGGTACAGAAGGTAAGGAGTGTAAAGGGAGTTGCACAAATCAGTCAACACACATTAATCAGTCATAGAAATGTCTGCTGTGTAGGGGGCTGGAGAGATGGCTCAACCTTTAAGAAGGTACCACTTAGGTAGCAGGCACAAATGACTCTGGTATTTGTTCCCGTTTAGAGCACATGATGTAGGGAATTAGATTTATACCTATCAGAGTTTAGTGATATAGATGTCATTATTCTATTTCTTCATTGTTCAAGAGGTGCTTGTGAAGATTAAACATGTTACCGTACAGGTCGTAACTGACTTCTGTAAAGTAGTAGCTACTTTTACGTTAAAAATACAAAAGGAGAGATTTACCAACCAAGGTTCTCAGGAAATAATTCATAAGAACCTTGAATAAATTGGCCCTGAAAAGGAGCATTTCCACATACCAGGATTAGAGGGGAAAGTTATTCAAGATGGCCTGAATAGGTGATGTGGACATATTTGGAAAGTGACACTGATTTTATATGCATTTGGCTAGATGAGGTTGGGATTGAAGACATACAGGTTGGGGTCGGTTCTGGTATTGTCATGAACACTGCATGCAAAGCAATTTGAGTTTTATGCTAAAGTAAGGGGGAGCTTGTGATACCATCAGAGCTATGCTTTAGGAGTATATATTTATGAAGGTATTAAGGAAAGAAATCAATAAGTTTTGTGTGTGTGTGTGTGTGTGTGTGTGTTTTAATGTGGGGCAGGACCAGTAAGTGGCTCAGGTTGGCCTTGCACTTGATATGCTTCTGCCTCAGTGCCTCCAGGATCCCAGCATGCCCAGCTAATGAAGATGAGTTTTGTGATCTTTGAGGGAAGTAATGGAGCTTCAGTGGAGCGGTGGGAATGAAAACTGAAAACAGCTGAGTGTGGCGGCCCATTCCTGCAGTCCCAGCAGTTGTGAGGCTCAACTCGAGGCCAGCCTACACTAGCAGCAAGCCAGACTGCTACATAATGAGACGCTGTGTCAGGGAAAAGGGAGGTGGGGAGCAGAGACTAAGATAGTGAGAGCCTTCTGTATTCTAGGTTCTGTCCTAGGTGTCTAAACAGGTTATCCGTTTTCACCAACAGAGTTGTCACACTTGGTCTGAAACAGCTTGTTCAGCATTAAACACTACAGTCAGACTTTTCTAGTGCTAAACACACTTCTTTCCCACAGGCGGCCTCCTGTCCTAAAGAGATTTCATAGCTGTTTGGGAATGCAACTCTTTTTGGGGGGAGTGGAGGCAGGACAGGATCTCACTGTATATCCTCAACTGTCCTGGAATTCACTATGTAGACCAAGCTGACCTTGAACTCACAGAAGTCCATCTGTCTCTGTCTTCTTATTGCTGGTATTAAAGGAGTATACTACCAGGCCCATCTTAAGATGTTCTTATCTCTGGTACACCTAGAAGGTTTCTCTTAGTAAAGCTGACAAACGATAATGTTTATGTTCTTTTAGTTTGTATAAATGCACTATGTACAATACTAGTACACCTGAAGTTCTAGCATGCGGATGGCTGAGCCAGGAGGATCATAGTTTGAGACCAACAGTGAGACTTAGTCTTTTAAAGTCAAGGGCTAAGAGCATTGCTCGGCAGTAGAACTCTTGTCTAACACAAGTCCTTGGATTCCCCAGTGTTCCAATAGTAAAACTTTATAATTTATTCTGTTCTCTTTACTAGGTTCTACGCCATGAGGAATTTGAAGAAGGCTGCAAAGCTGCATGTAATGGGTATGACGCCTTATATCTTAAAAGCTTAGGTTCTGAGTAGCTCCAAGCAGAACACACTCACAAAGTTGAGTGTAAGACACAGGCTAAACTACTTTAAAGAGCAAATAAAAATAACAGAAAGGAGGCGTGAAATAAGAGAAGCTCCTTGAATAGCCTTTGTTTCTCCACACTCATGCAGTACCTCAGACCCAGCAAGCAGTTCTCCAGGACTCCAGATTCTAGCCAGGTATCTGACGTTGGCTCAGTTCCTTGTCTGTCTGGAGATATGTGAGACCAGCTACAAATCCTAGTAATCCCTCCTCCTGACCTCAGGGAAACACTACTTACATTTACTGGCTTATAGAGAATTCAAATCAGGAAGAGCCAGATAGAAGAGCAGCATGCAGAAAGGTATGGAAGAGAGGAGGGATGGCGTTTCCAGTCTCTTCCATGATCCCAGCACCTGCATGGCTGCAACAACCCACAGAGTCATCAGATCTTGTTGAATAGTTTTTACACAGATTTGTAGAGCTTGCTCTCCCCTTCTCACAGATAAGTGTGGCTGCACATTCTGATCTTTTGGTCTTTTTGACAACCAAGCAAATCTTCAAGCTATCTATCCTCACCTTCAGTCAGCTTGTTATCGGCAACCCAGGTATTCTAAAAGAGGTTCAAGAATAACAGGCCCACTTATCAGGAAATTCCAAGGTTTAAAGAGCTCTATGCCAGGAATCCTAACAAAGACCGAATATTTTTTCATATGTTAGTACAAGGACAAATAAATACCTGCAGTAGGGAAAGCAATGGCTAGGTAATAGTAATACTAAGCAACAGTATACTAAGTAATAGTAATACTAAGCAAC